AACTTCCTCCTCATAATCATCAACAACATCTTCCTCGGCAACAGCTGTTTCATCATCAAAATTTGGGTATTGACCAATATCAAAATCATTACACGCAGGGTCTGTTTCTTCTTCTGAAAAATCATCAAAATCCGAGTATTGACCAAGATCAAAGTCCGGGTATTGACCAAGATCAAATTTCAAATACTGACTAGTACTCACAATTTTTTCTGTTGGCTCATCATCGTCTAACTGGTCAATACGAAAACCGGAATTTGGTGCTGAAAGTTGATTGGGATTTGAATTAGGGAAAGGTTGTGGGTTTTAAGATTGTGTTTGGTTTTGGAAATGTGGTGAAACAATATTTGCTTGGTGATGAAATTGTGGTGGAACCATTAAATTTTGAGCACCATAAACTGGGGTTGAAAAACTTAGTTGATTACTACCCGCTACTGACCCAACTTCACTACTTCTAGGTTCAACAACATACAATGTAACATCATCACTTGAAACACTAATGTAAGTAATGAATCGTTCAACATCTTCATTGTCGGTTAACAAATAAACTTTACCATTTCTCTGATAAGATAGCCTAAATCCACTTAGGAGCTCTAAATTCAATTTATTTGCAACACGTAACATTAGAGTTTCATAAGTTAACTTTTTTAATGACAGTTTTAGTTGAAGATTCATGGGTAAAGGCATATTGTAAAACGCCATGAACATTCTCCCATGAACCTCCAAAACACAAATCTATCCAAACATGATCAACATTAGATGATTTCATTATTGTAAATTAATTTACTAAACAAACGAGCTGCGAAACTAAAACCTGTTGCCGGATGGGGAAGGATGTCGTTGGATATAGGAACGAATGTCGCCGGAGAGAGTGATAGATGGAGATGGAATGAGTTGCGATTTAGAGATTTAGGTTATGAGTTGCTGTTGCTACGTAGTTATATACCCAAAACATTTGTGTTGCGAAATTAAAACCTGTTGCGAATTCAGAAATCGAGTTGCGAATTTGAAATCAGTATTGCGATAGTCAGAATCTCGTTGCGATTTACAGATTCGCATTGCGATTTACGTAATCGCGTTGCGATTTACGTATTCGCGTTGCGATTTACGTAATCGCGTTGCGATTTACGTAATCGCGTTGCGATTTACGGAATCGCGTTGCGATTTTACGTATTGTCGTTGCGATTTACGGATACGCATTGCGATTTACGTATTCTCGTTGCGATTTACAGATACGCGTTGCGATTTACGTATTCTCGTTGCGATTTACGGATACGCATTGCGATTTTACGTATTGTCGTTGCGATTTACGGATACGCGTTGCGATTTACGGATACGCGTTGCGATTTACGGATACGCGTTGCGATTTAACGGATACTCGTTGCGATAGTCAGAATCGCGTTGCGATTTATATGTTCGCGTTGCGATTTGCGTTGCGATTCTGGAAAATCGCAATGCGAATTTGTACTATCGCATTGCGATTCTTCATAATCGCGTTGCGATTCTGGGAACTGATTTACGATTCTGGAGATCGCGTTGCAATTTTTATTTCGCATTACGATTTTGTTGGTCATTTTGGCGAATCAAAAAAATTTATTAAAATCATATATTATAAGGTATTTTTGATCACTGAGACGATTTTCTCTTATTTAATTTGGAAAGATAATAAAAATGAGTCTTACTTAATGTTAAACGTCAACATCCATGGAAAAAAATCAAAATTTAAACTTTTCTGCCATCTGAAAACCACTATACCTGCTATTAATAAATAGCAAAAACATGGTCCACTGAGTCAGTAGTCAATGTATGTATTCCAATCCAAACTCGATAGTGCCACAATAATTCTACTCTACCCCCAAATTTTCAACATTCCCACAAATTCTTTCTTGAGTTGTAGATGCAAAGGGAAGGGGAATTTTAATGAAACATCACTTTGATTTTCTTCTCCAGCTTTAGAATAAGGGGGAAACCAAAAGCCCATTTCTATTCAAGGCCTGATTTGAAGCAGGGAGATTTCGATTGGTGTATTGGGTAACATGCTCTCTCTGAATTCTGTTTTTTTGGGGTTATTTGTTCATAGATTCAGAATTATTGTTTTTCCATGAATGTTGATTTGTAGCTCAATTTGTGGGGGAAAAGAAAGAAATCTTGATAACCCCAAAGAATAAATAACTGAGACACTACTATGATGCCAGAAACTTGTGGTTCTAGCTTGTTTCTTGCTTTACCTGATGATGTGTTTGCTATTATATCACGGTCCCTTTCACCAGAGGACATATGTAATCTCAGTATGTTGTAAAATTCTATGTGAACATGTTGCCTCTGAAAGGATTTGGCTCACCCAATGTGATGTAGTTGGAGTTGTGCCTATGAGGGACCTCGTGGAGTGGAGGGAAGGTGTAGTATCTTATAAGGCACTCTGTCGCTTCCTTGTTAGAGTAAAGCCATTGGTCGGCCTTTGGGTTCACCAGAATCCTGAGGTTGGCAATGTAGTCTATGTATTGCCTGGTTTTGTTTCTGTTGTTGGATGTCGAATAATTCCTCAAGAGCTTGGTCCATTAGGGATCGAGGATGGCCCCATTCTATGGGCACCGGTTTTTGAAATTATTGGTGATTCTGATGGTTCCACCACGTTTATTCTTCATGGTAGGGAGAAAGGATGTGACTATTTTTATCCTGGTTCAGTGGAATCTGTGGAGCGGAATTGCAATGTGCTATTGCTTGAGGTTGAGCCTAGAGCAAAAAGGAATGGTTGTAAACTATTCCCTAGTGAGAGCTTTCCTCATCATTCCAGTGAGGAGATTTCAAGAAAGGTTTATAGATCAAATAGTGGTTTATCGAGATCCTCAGGACAGAGTGAGGCCGCGGTTCCTTTTAGTCGGTTGAATTTTGGTGACAGGAGAAAGTTGCTTGAGACTGTTACTAGCCAAGTTCGTCTTAAGCTTACTGATTCTGTAAGTGGGCCTCTATTCCCTCTGTTGTGGGAGGATGCGGAGAATTTCCAGAAAGATTTGGTTCTTATGTTGCAGCGAAGATCACTGCTTCTTCAGATGTGTAAGTTTGGTAGTGAACAGGGTTGCGTGGATTTGAAGGCAAGTACTGCAATGCCTGCTGGTCCTACTCAGTCGGAACTCGGTGACATTAGAAAGAGCTTTGACCGTTCTAGTTCTTCTAATTCTCTGAATGGAGATGATGATCAGACACACAGAAACAATAGGAAAAGTCTAGGTGGGTACTTCAGAGCTAGTATTAAGCAAATTCTTCGGAAGCCTAGTTCTGTCAATGGTGGCAGAGCAATTTCAAAATGCAATTCTTCTAGCAGTGAGACTAGGCATGCTCAACTTCATGATTTTCTGAATTCCGGGGATACTATTGGGCTGGCAATACGTGCCTCTACAATTAATTTATCATCTTATCGAGCTTGGCCTAATATGCATGATACACGATTTGCTCTTTACAAGCTGCCCATGCGGGTTCCGAGGGAAGATCAAGAGTATGCCGGTTTATGGGGAGGAACATTTGGTTGGCCTCCTGGAAGGCCGACTGAAGACAAGCCTGGGAAAGCTCTGTTCTTTCTTTTGCTCTCTTACAAAGAGACAGAGGGAAAACAGCTTCTCATTGCAACTAAAATATTGGAAGGCACCCACTATGTTCTGCACCCAAATGGTTCCGCAATGTTCATAGTGAATATTGATGAGCCTTCACTGGACCCATTTCCCTGGGATAGTGATGCAGATCACATCCTGTGAATGTGAAGCATGCTTTTGTGGGAGAAGGTATTGCAAATGGATATGGTTTTAGATATCCTGGCTCAAAGCCTGGCTCACTTTTTGTCATTCAAAATGGTCTGCTTGCCTTCATATGGAAGGAATCAAGGTCTGTCTTGACCCTGCAAAGACTCAGCTTGCAAGACCTTTTGAAGAAAGGTGAACAGGTTCCTGCTCTCCCTCCGATTGCCAACTTTTCGTATTTGACCAAGTCATACTCGAATGTGTTTGTTGGGTTCTCAAACACCTCAACATCTTCATCTTCTCTAAGGTATGTGTTATGTCCTGTGTTTGCTCTTTTTTCATCCAAACTACCCCTTAGCTAATGAATATTATTCTGTGTTATCTTTATTTATTGCACTCATGCTATATACTTGATTCATAAACAATGAAGTTCAGTTATGGTTATTTGGCATGAGAGTAAAATGATATTGGGTTCCATTTTTTTTTCTGTTTTAGTAGTCTGGGGGTGGGGGATGCGACTTGTGAGAGCTAAAAAAACAACTGAATTATTGTTGTTGGGCTTTCTATACTGCTATGAGTTTCCAATTTCTATTTACTTTCAATTGCACTCTTACAAGGCTATAACTGCTACGAGTCCGCAAAATAGTTTTTATCAGATGAGTTAGTCTTTTACAGCATGTCTTGTTTATTGGAGAACTAGTCAGTTTATTGACTACTGACACTGGGTTTTAAGGAACTGCTCTGTCAATGTTATAATGAATTTGATCATTACTTTTAATTTATAGTCAAAACAACTCTCTCTTGATTTTTCATATTTTGGCTTAGTTTCTTTGTATAGGTCAAGTGGATTAAGTATGGCTTGATAGGTGGTTTATATATTTAACCTGGCTTTTACTTTGGTTATTTAATTGTTACTTCTCTCTTCATCCTCAAAATATGCACCATGTTAGGTTCAACTTTGCAGTCTTTTTATATTTGTTTCTCACTTCACTAGAAATGTATATATGTGATAGTTTTATGTTCATGTATTCTTATATTAAATTACCATGTTCAGGGGGGGGTGAGAAAATTTCCTGATACGTCAGACCGGATAATGAATAGTTTTGCCCATTGGCAAGTTCTGTGAGCCTTTGTAATGAATGAATTTAACATCTTTGTTTTATAAAAGTTTGCTCACTTTTCCTTGAAGTTCGGGATGCATCTACGATTAGTTTTATAACAACTACCAGTTGTAATTTGGTTACAGCTGCCTTCTTGTATAAAGCTTTGCAAATAATCATCTATGGTTGGTCCCATGTTTTTATTTGGCAGGAAAAGGCATGTTTAGGTCACCAATGGGCACTGGATAAATTGCAAATATTCAACTATTGTTTCTATGCCAGTGTATCTGGGGTCTAGTTTACTGCTACCGGTGATTCAAGAGTGTCAAGTTTCAGGTTGTCTCCAAGATGATATAAATCCTTTTCTCTGAAACAACAACGAGGATTATCTCGTTGCGTTTGTTAAAAGAGATTTATCAGGTTATTCTTGTGCTCCGGTAAAGATATATGGTTAAAAGCCAATAATATAGTCAACAGGGGAGAGATACAGAATCTCAGATGTGATACAAGTTTTCCCCCATTAACTTTGAAAGAATACTCTTTTTGTTTCTTTGGATATTATATCGACACACTTGTATCACGGGAAGAGTGGTGATAAGCATATCATGTTTGGAACCCACATAGCTTTTGAAATTATCCTCCTTCCCTCTCCTCTTGAGAAAGTAAAGCTAGCTGAAGTAGTTGATATCCGATAAAATTGAATTTTGGGGAAGAATCAAATGCTGTTACCAGTACCAACAACCAGTTGGTCTAATAGGATGAGATATTAGATTTCTTATGTAAAGTCAGGGTTCGAATCTTGATATTTGCAAATGGAGCAAAATGAGTTGGGAGAGTTGTTCCCATATGGACTTCTGTAAAATTTAGTCTGGATTAGTCGGTAAATAGATCGAATACCGGTGATTAATTCGAAAAAAATGGTGTTACAAAGAATTTGGTTGGCATTTTCTAAGTTATAGCAACGTGAACAAGAGATGGAAAAGAGATGGTGTATGTGTTTTTTTTATATGCATGTATAGATTAAGATTCGAACAGTTGAATGTATACATTTAGTTTTAAGAAGTAATTGTTTTTCCTTGCCATTCTACATGTGTGACCCTGGTTGCATGGTTTATTCCGTTTTGACAGAGTTATGATAAAAGGGTAAAATATATTGTTTGGTCCCCAAACTATAATGTTCTTTACTTTTGCATCTTCTAATAATAAAAGATTATAAAATGATCATACAACTTAAAAAATAGGATAAGATTTGCAAGTGGAACTTCAAATAAAATCTGGTACTATTCAGCGATGACCGGCAGCAACAGTTGTGAGTGGTGGTGACGATGGGAGATTTTGGTTAAATTTAGAGGTTAAATGAATATTTTATCTAAATTTTAGGGATGAAAATGATATTTCATCTAAAATTCGTGGTTAAATTAACATTTTATATAATTTTATGGGTTGAATTAAAAATTAATTCATTTTAATTAACATGTAACATCATCAAGTTAACAATTGATAATGTAAGAAATTAAAATTAAATAAATTAACAATATAAGTGATTAAAATGTAATTATTTTAAATTTAGTAAGTAAAAATATATAAATATAAAAGGAAAGTGATAATCCCATAATTGACTCTAAATAACATAAATATAGACGGTAGTGATGAAGTCCAAATGTTTATGATGCGTTACCCCTTATGATTCAATGCCTACATGATTAATTGAGAATATTGTGAAAAAATTATAGATTTTCCGTTAAAATTAGTAGTAAACTCAGACCTTGTAATAATATCAAATGATCTTCCACGAATATAAAATTGAGTCCATGAAACAGATTACTCAATACTTTCATTTTTTATTATTAATAATTGTAAAATATAAAATAATATTTGTTTAAAGATAACTCTCAATCAAATTATATTAAACACTTGTACTCTTGATATTATTGATGTTCAAATCCGAATCAAACTGTGTTAAAAAAGTTGTCGAGAACCTAGCAAGGCTCGTAACTGTGCTCGCATCACTGAACCTCATATACAACCCGCTCCAATTATAAAGAATAAGACCCATCATGCCTAACTTCAAGTCAACCCACTCTATTTTCTTTTTGTGTTTCAAGCCAACTGTTTTAATCTCATTAATGTCTATTAATTTCATTTAATTTCTTCGATCCTTGTTTATTTATTCTCTTCTCTTTAAAAGCAAGTTAAATAATTTTTTTTAGTATGTACTTGAACTTTTCTCCTTTCAAAAATTTAATTTTTGTTATGACGATAGGAAAAGGTAAAATTGAGTTAGATTTGTTTATTAGTGTGTTGTTGTTGCCGGTGAACGATTACTGTTGTATCTTAAGAGATAGACGTCTAACATTCTCAAGCATCGAGGATATGAAAAATCCATCTTAAAGAGATTGTTAATACAAACCTCAGCAAATTCTGCTACTAATTTAATTCTGGTTTGAGTTGTTTGATACGTCTGGAGTCATCACCCTACTGCCATATCCTCCACTTAAAAGATCTTCCATATAACTTTTCTTGAAGTCTCCGGAAGATCCTCTCCTCAAGTGAACGTTGTTGAAAGAAATATTATTACTATTAGATTACTACTTAATTATTTGTAAGTTTACTAACAGTTTATTCCCGGATAACCGACAGGTCTAGTGTTCCAATGAGATCGTTGTTTAGCCTAGTAATAGGAACCGTAATGGATTTTATATGTTGTAGAACTGCGTGAAAAGGTGGCCCAAAACTATGTTTTAAAAGGCAATTTTACTCCGATGGAGCTTTGAATATAGAGAAAGGCTGAAATGGACAGGAGAAAAATTATTTTCCCAAACAGAGTATTTTAAGCAGTGTAATCACCAATTTTATCCTAAAAAAAATGCATTACAACCATACACTGCTACCACCAACCCAACTACTGCCCATGCCCTGCTCCTCATCACAATGCCCTCCCATCCACCATGTTGTTGCCCCTGCAATACATCAACCACCAGCACCAAAATTCAAAGCATTGTCAGGATTAATTATTTGTTTTTAGGGGTAATATCTACTGTAATGGGTATAAAACCTGAATGAAAGCAATGTAAAAACTCTTTCGGCATCATTTGTTCAAGCCAATAAACAAGATTTTTAAGGCTACCCTTTTTAAGATTGCAAATATTTTTGTTCATTTTTCCTATTTCCGAATCTCAGTAAGAAAACCTTTATTTATTTATTTATTTCTTTTATTTTAGAAGAACACTAAGCATAAAAATAGCAATTTTAGTTTTAAAAAAAATCACAACCACATATATCCGAACGGTGAGGAGGAGCATCTCGAGAAGGGGAGCAGCATACTGAAATTTGGGCTCGATCCAACGGAGGACGAAAGAGATCCGGTCAGTGGAAGCCGCGGCTTATTTCGAGGCATTGGGGGCTGTTTTTCACAAAACCGAGCCCGGATCCGTGACCACCGCGTCAAGACGAGTCTCTCGATAAATTTTGGTGGCCAACAACCATCAGAGACGACGAGCGGCCGAAATTCGAGAGAGAGGGTTAAAAAATTAAAAAGACAGAAAAATGAAATGTTAAAAAAAGTTTGTATTTATAAAATAATTTTGGGAGAAATCATATTTTAGGTCCCCCAACAATTCCTCCTTTTTACAAAAGGTTCACTAGAAGGGGCCGTTTTTATAATTTTCCATTTTTTGTTTGTGCTTTGAAATTTTTGGTATAATTTCAATTTAGTCACCCCACTTTTAGCTTGTTTTTAAACTTTAGTCATGTGTAGTGACTTTTTTTTAAATTTTTTTCGTGGTTTGATATTGTAATTTTGCCTTTTTATTTTAACAGAGTTTTTAGCCTTAAATAAATGGTATAACTTCCTTTAGGTCCCTTTAATTTCTAGCATGTTTTGTATTTTTTTGTCCCTAATTCATTTATTTTTATTTTGTTTCAATTTAGATTTTTTTAATTTAGTCCTATTTTATGTTTAATTTGTTCCCATTTAGTTTAGTAATTTCACATTTATGCAATTAGGTCCTTATTTTATGTTTATTTAATTTTTATTCTATGTTTTTACTGTGTTTTTTTGTTATTTGTTTTATTTTTTTAATTAAGTTTATTATTAATTGTTATATTTCATAGCTTTAATTCTTAGATTTAGTTTTAAATTAGATTAACATTCGAATCAAACTTAGAAATTAGGATTTCACATTAGTTTTAATTATGAACAATTCGAGTAGAGTTTTCACAATCTATGCCTGATTACTCGAGTCGATTGCTCGACTTTTAAAATCATTAATAATTAATATTTTCTAAAAAAGCTTTAGGTTTAATAATTTAGATAAAAATTAGGTTTTAAATTAGTCATCAACTTTAGAAATTATCAATTTAGGTCCTACGCTTTTAGATCTTTTAGAAATCGTACTTTTAGATCTTGATTTTTTAGTCCCCGAACTTCGATTAGAACTTTAAAATTAGCATAATTAAATATGTTAAATAGAGCCTCCACTTTAGGTTAGCTTTCAAATTAGTCTTTAAATTTAGGGAATAATATGAGTTGTCTCTCGCCTAAATGCTGAATGAACCATCTCGATTATTCGATTCGATAATTTATTAAAATCAAATAGGATTAATATTTGAGCCTACTTTTTTAGGTTTGAGCTTCTAGGTTCCTTTAATTTCATAATTTGACACCTTAAGCTAGAAAAAGCCTTTAATTTACCTTAACTTAATTAGGATTAAATAAAATTTTGTTTGATTGCATTATTTTTTAAACCTAAGGCAATGTTCACTTATTAGGGAATTAATGGTATATCTCCCGCAAGTGTGCTCAGGGGGTGACTACTGGTGATTCCCGAAATGGGTCGATATCCTTTTCAAACATTGCATCATGATTTTTTAAAAATGAGGCAATATTCGGTTATTAGACACAATAGCTGATCTCCCGCATTTACGCTTGGGAGCGAATGCTATCGGTCTCAATAAACGAATACCCTTTTCAACTTTGTATCCGTAATGATTTTCAAATTAAATAAAGATCGAACTCAAAATTTTCGATTTTAAATATAGAGTAACCAACTAGATACCAATTTTTGGGTGCTTTTGGGAGTGCTAATCATTCCCTACGCGTAACTGACTCCCGAACCCGATTTCTGGATTTTCGCAAACCTTAAAGCTCATATTTTGATAAAAATAAATGTTTTATTAAAATCACATGGTTTTTATGTTGTTTCAATCGCACCTTAAATGATTTATGCCAACTCCTCACATTTCGAAACGCTTTTCAAAAAGAAAAACCCTGAGTTGGTATCGGTCTTTCCCCACCTGGGCAAAA